GGGGGGGGGGGGGGGGGGGGGGGGGGGGGGGGGGGGGGGGGGGGGGGGGGGGGGGGGGGGGGGGGGGGGGGGCCGGGGGGGGGGGGGGGGGGGGGCGACGGCCGGGCCCGGTCCGGTCCTGGGCGACGGGAGGTAGTGCCATTGCTCCCGGTCCTGAGGTGCCTTCTCCAGCGGCGGCGGCGGCGGCGGCGACGGGGCCCGGCCGGGGAGGGAATCGTGGCCGCCCACCCGCTTTTCCTGACCGAGCCGGGGGGGCCTCTCCCAGGGAGGGGGGTGCGCCAGGGCAAGAGAGAGCGAGAGAGGGGCCCGGGCCTGTCGCCTGGCGCGCTCGGCCTCCCGGGGCCGGACTAGCGCGCGCGAGGAGCGTGTGTGGGGCCCGGCGTGCCGGCGCGCCGGCGCACACCGGCGGCCATATTGAACTAGCATCGCCCTGGAAGCACCTGGGAGAGGGTCTGTCCCACCACTTTGTTTGTTTTTTGCGCCTCTTCTGCTTAACAGACAAAGACACACAATGTCGGACTCTCTTATCTTCCGTGGCACCCTCGAGGGTCACTCTGACTGGGTCACTGCCATCTCGGTCTTCCCCAACGATGCCAACAAGCTTATCACCTCTTCTCGTGGTGCGTCTCGGCTCGCGTCCCTGCCTCTGCTCTTTTTGCCCTGTTCCTCCCCGCCACGCCGCCGGGCCCGCGCCATTCCCCTGGGTTTCGCCTGCCTCTCTGCCCTCCCCGGGGGGAGGGGGCCCTCGCGCACGCGCGGCCGCATCTCCCCTCGTCCCCTGCTCCTCTCTCCCTCTCTTTCTCGCCCCTGGCTCGGCACGCCCCTCGTTTGCACATTCTCGCCCTGTGTGCACGCGTGCGGCGCGCCCCTCTCCTGTCCCGCCGCGCCGTGTGTGTGTGCCTTGCCACCCCATATATGTGTGTGTGTGCGCTTGCCTCCTCCCTGCGGGGCGTGGGAGGGAGAAAGACATCCCCTCTTTCTCTCTTCCCTCTCCTCTCTTGGTGCACGGCCGCGATAGGGGAGGGGGCTATCTACGCCCGAGCCAGCGGGCGCGAGAGGGGGGATGTCCGTGCCCTTTTCCCCGCATGCGGCCTGGGCGGAGGCTTGCGTCGGTGTTGGCTGCCCCTCCTCTCTCTCCCTCTCTCTCTCTCTCTCTCTCTCTCTCTCTCTCTCTCTCGCGCGCGCGCGCGCGTGCCGTTGTGCATGCGCATGTGGCCATTTCTGACCCTCCCTCCCCTCTCTCCCGCCCATCGGATTCGCCTTTGCCCTTCCTGCATCCGACGCGGCCCTTCTCCTCTCTCCGGTGTGTGTGTGCTTTTGCCCCTCGGCGCCCGGGGCCTTCCACAGATAAGACCCTCATCATCTGGGAGCTGACCCGCGAGGAGGAGTCCTTCGGTCTGCCCACCAAGAGCCTGAAGGGGTACGTTTGCTTCTCTCCTGGCCGGCCCCCCCCTCGCGTTGGTCGCCCCGCGTGTTTCCTCGCCCTCTCCTTCTCTCCTCCCTGCCCTTCCCTTCTAACGCGTCTCTCCTTGCGTCTGCGTCCCTCTGGGTGTGGTCGCCCGCGCGCGCGCGCCTGCCAACCCCGCTTGCCGCCCACAGCCATAGCCACTTCGTCTCCGACGTTGCTGTCTCTTCCGACGGCCAGTTCGCCCTGTCCGCCTCTTGGGACAAGACCATCCGCCTGTGGAACCTCGCCCTCGGCGAGACCTCCCAGACCTTCATCGGCCACACCGGTGATGTCCTGTCCGTCGCCTTCTCCGCCGATGACCGCCAGATCATCTCCGGCTCTCGCGACTCCCAGGTCAAGGTCTGGAACACCCGCGGTGAGAACAAGTTCACCCTCACCGAGAACGGCCACACCGACTGGGTCAACTGCGTCCGCTTCATCCCCCCCAGCGCCGACCCCAAGGCCCCGGTCTGCTTCATCTCCGCCTCCGCCGACAAGACCGTCCGCACCTGGAACATGAACACCCTGCAGATCCGCTTCAACCAGAAGGGCCACAACGGTGGTGTCAACACCGTCGCCGTTTCTCCCGATGGCTCCCTCGTCGCCTCCGGTGGCAAGGACTGCCAGGCCATGCTCTGGGACCAGAACGATGCCAAGCACCTGTACTCCCTCGACTCCAGCGAGCCCATCAACGCCCTCGCTTTCTGCCCGAACCGCTACTGGCTCGTCGCCGCCGCCGGCTCCTCCATCAAGGTCTGGGACCTGGCCACTCAGGACCTCCTGCTCGACATGACCCCCCAGTTCGCCAACCTCGGCAAGCGCTCCATCGCCCCCCAGGCCGTCTCCCTCGCCTGGTCCAACGATGGCGAGCTCCTGTTCGTCGGCTACACTGACAACCTTGTCCGTGTCTACTCCGTCTCTTCCAGCGTCATCGCCTAAATGCGCGCGTGTGTGCCCCCTTCCCCTCCGCGTGTGTTTTTAGGGGGACCGGCCGTGTGCGCGCGCGCGTGTTCCGCGCGTGCGTGTGTGTGTGTATATAATGTACGCGCGCGCGCGACGAGCGCGCGCATATGCCCCCTATCTCTCTCTCTCCCTCTCCCTCTCCCTGTCTTCCCCCCTCCTCCTCTCTCGCTCTTCCCTCTCTCCTGCTCATGCTGCTGTGTCCGCGCGCGCGCGTGCATGTGTGTCTCCCCCTCCCATCTCTCCCTCTCCCTCTCCCTCTCCTCCGCGCTGCGGGGCGAGCGCGAGGGCGCGCGGGGGAGGCCAGGAGGCGCCATGTGTGTGTGTGTCCCCCTCCCCACCAGAGCCGGGGCAGGCGCCAGGGCAAGTGGGCTGCTAGAGAGGGGGGCTGTGTGGGGGGGGCGGGATCGTGTGTGGTGGGGGCGGTTGCGCGCGTGCGCTTGCGTGCGCGTGCATCCGTCCGGTCCCGTTGCGTGTCGTCTGCCCCCCAGGCCACACCGCACGTCCCTTCTCCTTCTCCTTCTCCTCCCCCTCTCTCCCTCTCTTGCCGCGTGGGTGAGAGGCCGCTTGCGCGTACGCGCGTGCGCAGACTAAAGCCATCACCGTTGTTGTATGTGTGTGTGGCGCCGCCGCGCCGCTCTCTCTCTCTCTGTCTCCTTCTCGCGTCGCAGGGGGGGGGGGGGGCGGGAGCGCCGGGCGAGGGGCTTCCGGGCCGGAGGCGGGCGGCCGCGCGGGTGTGTGTGTGTGGGTGAGAGAGAGCCGTGCGCGCGCGCGCGCGCTCCCCCCGGGCGAGGGCTAGGGCTCTGTCTCCGCCGCCATTCCTCCTTCCTTCCCCCTCTCCTCCCCTGGTGTTGTAGATCGTCCCCCCACATTTCCCCCCCCCCTCGTCTTGTCTTGCAAAATTCCAACCCGTCATGTCTGAACGCCATTGCGCCGTGTTGCTGCTTCGCCAATACCCTTGTGTGCTTGCTCCCCGCGCGCGCGCGCCCCTCATTGTTGTTTTTTTCTCTCTCTCTCTCTCTCTTCTCTGCGCGTTTTTTCTGCCGCCGCGCGTGCGCTTGTGACGGGGCGTGGGCGCGGGCGGGGAGGGGGGGCCGGCCGGGGCCGCGGGAGAGATCTCCCGGCGGGCGCGCCAGACAGCCGCACGCACCTCCGCATGCACTGGCAGGCCGGTGTGTGTGTGTGCCGGTGTGTGCGTGTGCGTGGTCCGGCCTGTGCGCCAGGAGGGGGCCGGGGGCGGGGGGGATCAGCGCCCCTTTCTCGCACGGCGCGCGGGGCGCCCGCCATACCCCCCGGGGCGGAGAGAAGGGGCCAGCATGGCGGGACTGGTAGTGGTGCGGCCCCGGCCCCCAGAACCGCCCCCTGGGCCACCTCCAGCACGTCTCACTGCGGGACTTCCTCTACGCCCGACAGGCCCACAGGGGGCGTTCTGCTCTTTCGGACCCGCTGGGCGCCGACCAGTCCCGGGGCGCCTCTTGGCTAGTCCGGGGGGGGGAGCGCGCCCGGCCCTCCCGCGTTTGTCCTCGGCTGCCAAGCCCGGCGGCCGCTCCCTTAACTCAACTACTGGCCCGGGAGAGAGCGTCTACCGGTGTTGGCAGACTCCAGGCGGGCACAGTAGCGGGCGGCTCGGCGTCGCGCGCACGCACCGCCGTCCCGCGGAGCACGCGCATCACCCGTTCGCCGGGACCTGCGTGATGCCCCACAACAGACCACATGACACATCCAAGTGCCAGCCCTCCCGGGGGCCCGATGGACGCCCCTTCCCGGCGCCGAACGCCCGAAGGATGCCCGCGACCCCCCCCCCCCCCTCCCCCGGCAGGCAGGAGTATGGGCAGGAGGCGCACGCACCCACCAGTCGACCCTCCCCCCTCCCCGGACGCGCCATGCCGGCGCACAGGGCGGCCCTGGCCGAAGGCAGTCCCAAGTCCACCACACGCCCCCCCCCCCCCCTCCTCGGCAGGAAAGAAAGACCGCGCGCCGGTCGTACGTCCATTCACATCTGCGGCGTGCCGATCGTCGCGCGGCGCCGCATGCACATGCACACACGCGCACGCACCATGTTGCGCGCACATCAGACCATCGCCGCGGCATCCTCCTTGGACCGGCGGGCCAGGATGGCCTTCGCCGCGTTGGACGAGCCGCCAGGCGGCTTGCCCAGCTTGCGGCTGATGAAGAGCCCGGCATCAACCAGCTTCTCCAGGTCGACGCCGGTCTCGACGCCCAGGCCATTCAGCATGTACACCACGTCCTCGGTGGCCACATTGCCGGAGGCCCCCGGGGCATAGGGGCACCCGCCGAGCCCGGCCACCGACGCGTCGATGGTGGTGATCCCATGCAGCAGGCCCATCAGGACGTTGGCCAGGCCCTGGCCATAGGTGTCGTGGCAGTGCAGAGCCAGCTTGCTGAGATCGCCGCCAAGGCGGCGGTTGCAGATGTCCAGCAGGTGGGAGATGGAGCCTGCGCGGGTGTCATTGTTGTTGATGTCGTTGATGTCGTCGTGTGAGTGGATGCATGTGCCGGGCAAGGGAGGGAGCAGTTGGCGGCGAGACGGAGGAGGTGCCGCTCGCCGCCGGCTCTGGGCCACACCCAGAAGAGGGCACACACACACACGCACCCGGGGTACCGGCGCCGATGGTGTCACCCAGGGACACCTCGTAGCAGCCCAGGTCGAAGAGCTGCTGCACGACGTCCATCGTGCGCTCCGGGTCAATGGCCCCCTCATAGGGGCAGGCCACCACGCAGGAGACATACCCCCGGACCGGGACGCCCTGCTGGAGGGCGGCGTCCATCACCGGGCGGAAGCGCTGCAGGCTCTCCTCGATCGAGGCGTTGATGTTGCGCCGGCTGAAGGACTCGGAGGCCGCGGCGAAGATGGCCACCTCCCGGGCACCGGCCGCGATGGCGCTCTCGAACCCCCGGAGGTTCGGGGTCAAAACCGGGTAGCTGGTCCCGGCGCGCAGCTGGATGCCCTCCAGCACCTGGGTGGCATCGGCCATCTGCGCGATGCCCCGTGCGCCGTGCGGGCGTTTGGCCATGTCAGCGGATGCCCGGGCGGGCGGGCGGGGCGCCTGGCCCGGCGGGGCGTGGTGGGTCGGCGACGACGCACCTGGGGGACCCACTTGGGCGAGACAAAGCTGGTGGCCTCGACCACCGGCAGCCCGGTGTAGGCCAGCTTCTCGATGAGCTCGATCTTGTCGGCGGTGTCAATGATGCGCTTCTCGTTCTGAAGGCCGTCACTGGGGACGGGCGGGGCGGGAGAGGAGCAGGTCAGCGTCAGGCGTTTGGGGGGCCCTCCCGGCCAGGCAAGGGCGCACGCACCGGGGGCCGACCTCGACGATCTTCACGCGCGCCGGCATCAGCTCCATGAGGCGGCTGCTCTGGCTGGCGAAGGGGGACATGAGGGACTGGGCCAGGGCATCGGTGGTGACGGAGCGGCGAGCAGTGGGGGCGGCGGTGCGCGCGGCGCGCGAGAGCACATTCGACAGCATGATCAGCCGGAGGATGGGTGGGGCAGGGGCAGGGGACGGGGGGGGGG